CCCCTGATAAGTTCGAAGTAGTGAAAGCATAGTTTGAACATATATGCCGTGATGGCATAATCCGCCCCTCAAATGGCCCATGATAGGCCCCCCTACACATGGTAATCACGAAACCTGGGGACTGGCGATCCTGCGGTGATTACAGAGCTCTAGATAATATCACAGTCCCTGACCAGTACCCCATTCCTCATATCCACGAATTTTCATTTGGTTTAAATGGTGCTCAAGCCTTTCCATGACTTGATCTTGTACGGGCTTTGGAGCAGATTCCTGTGGCCCCCGAAGACGTCCCGAAAACTGCCCTTATTACAGCATTTGGCCTATTTGAGCTCCTACAAATGCCTTTCCGTCTACGTAACGCAGAACATACCTTTCAGAGATTCGTTCATCAAGTTCTCTGTAATCTTAACTTCATCTTTGTCTGCATTGATGATATTCTCATCGCCAGCAGAGACAATGATGAGCATTTACTGCACCTGCTGCAGGTTTTTACCCGTCATAATGAATTCGGCATCACCATTAACCCCCAGAAATGCTTTTTTTGAAGTAGACACTATTGAATTCCTTAGAAATTAGATTGACGCAAGTGATATTAGATCCTTGGCTGAGGAAACAACAGCGATTCGGGAGTACCCAATACCAGAATCATCCCATAGCTTACGCCTTTTTCTTGGTTTGGTCAATTACTATCTACGGTTCCTCCCACATGCTGCTGAAATTTAGTCTTCTCTGACTAACTTGCTTCAAGGTAATCCCAAAAAGCTAACGTTTACTCAGGAGGCTGAGGCTGCCTTAGAGGACGCGATAGCAGATTTTGCAAACTTGTGCTACTGCAAGAAGGAATCAAACCTGTCTTAGAAACCAATGCTTCCCAAACTGCGGTCGGCGCAGACTTCAACAGGAGCTGGACGGTCATACTGAGCCGTTATCATTCTTTTCTCGAAAGCTGCAACCAATTCAGACCCGTTAGAGTACCTTTTCTAGAGAACTATTGACGACTTATCTGGCTGTGAAGCATTTTCGTCACCTACTGGAAGGACGTGAGTTCACAATCTTTACCTGTCATAAGCCACTAATTCAGGCCTTTCATACAGCCTCTGATCGGTATTGTATACGCGAATCCTGATCCTCTGACTATGTTTCCTAGTTCACAACCAATATTCGCCATATTGAAGAGACTGCTAACGTCCTGGCCGATGAGCTACCCTGAGCATATATTCAAAACCATTCATCTCCTGATATCGACCTCGAACAGTTAGCCGCAGTGCTGATGGATGGTCCTGAATTACAACAGCTCAGTCGAAATCCTAGTCTAAAGCTAGAATACTGTCACTTCCACAATGTTCTTCAAAAATTTCTTCTGATGTGTCTTTTGGCAGGCTTTGCCCCTTTGTTCCTGTTTTATTTTAAAAACAAATATTTGCTTCCCTTCATACGCTTTCGCACATTGGTGCTCTCGCCACGGTGCGCTTGGTAACAGACCGTTCTGTTTGGCCTAGCATCCGTAAAGATGTTTGCTTATAGGCATATCTCAGTATTAAATGTCAATGCAGCAAACTATTTCACAATCTGGACATTTTCCCCTTCCGGACACGCGTTTCCGTCAGGTACACATTGGCCTAGTTGGATCTCTCACGCCGTCTCGTGGTTTTACTAATGCACTAACTTGTGTGGACCGCTTTACTCGTTGGCCTATGTCCGTACCTATCAATGAGTGTGTCGTCGAAATTGTTGCCCACGCATTTATGGATCATGGGTTTCCTCATTTGATGTTCCCAGTTCTATTACATCTGATCGCGGCGGACAATTTACGTCTTGTTTTTCTTCGCGACCTAAACCGCCTTCTTGGATGCAAGCATTTTCGTACTACAGCATATCATCCAGCGTCTATTGGATTGGTTGAGCGTTTCCACCGTCAATTGAAATTAGCCATTATTGCTAAAACGGCCTCAAATCACTGGTTTGACTCATTACCATTGATTTTATTAGCCATTCGGAATACGGTAAAGGAGGATATTGACTCCACACCAGCAGAGCTTGTATTCGGTACAACTTTGCCTCTGCCTGGTGAAATGGTCACCAACCCCGACCAGACCACTGAGTACCCATCTTCATCGCATGTCGATTAATTAAAGTACTACATGAAGGGAATTCTACCCACCCCGACAAGAATGTCCTTACGAGAAACACGTATGCAACCAAATTTGCATACTTCCCCTTGTGTATTTGTCCGCGTCAAAAAATCCTTGTAACCACCATACGATGGCCCATTTAAGGTGGTGTAACGCGCCGACAAATTTTTCGTAATTGACAAAAATGGTTCGCTGGATACTGTGAGCGTAGATCGTCTCAAAGCTGCTTAACCGGAAGACACCAATGTTTCGCGAACATGCTCAAGCAACGACGAACTCAATCTACAATCTCCCGTATCCCCACCCTACCCAACCTCTCGTTTTGGCCGACCCCTAAGACCCGTTGTTCGCTTTGCTGGTTCAGTTCGGTAATTATTGAGCGTTCACTGTTCCATCGCCAACACACTCGGAAGGGAATATTTGTAGTGGACTGCCAGCCACTCCGCGTGAGTGTGCGTGCATGAGGGCCCCAGTGGACCAATGACTCCTTTTGTTATTGGCCTCTGTCAGCATTCGCCTGATACGCACGCGTACTCACCCCCTCAAAGCCCCTTGGCTGCTTTGAAATCAATAAACCAGTCGTGTCCGCTGTCGCCCCTTTTTCTCTCTTCTCGAGTTGTCTTGGACTGTTAAATAGAGGGTTATAAGGTAGTGCTAAATCTCTAGCCGCTACAATCGTACCACAATATGGTTGCGTTTAAACAGAGGACATTTTCTAGATGTTCATCGTCTCATTGTGTCTGGTCGAAATGGCAACCTTGATTCAAAAAGTCTGAATATTTTTGAAAGCCGATCAGTTTACTTAAAAACGAAATCAGTTTGTAATTGTGGCAAAGATGGATTGCGTCACAAGTCTGGCAGAAATCTTCCAAACGCATAATCCTAGATCTGTGTATCGGAATAGCAGGATAGTTGCTGTTGATTTGTTGATGGCTGCAGGGGCTGTGCGAAGTGCTAGTTAGTCAGGCCCACCATTGGGATTTTCGAAAGCAGTATTCGACAAAGTGTACGAGACATAACCGTTAGTTATTTGCAGTTAATCCCTTGGCTGCGATTAAAAACCCTGCTAACAAAATCTCACCTTGTGACAAAAGAAATGGCCTACTTGGTCAACTGCCACTCAGTCACAGCACCTTGAATACTGAACCACCAAATACGTGTGATGTGGCAATTTATGTGCATTTCCTGGATAATTTACATTCTTGAATCTGTATGTACTTGTGCCCTTGTGTAAATAACCCGGGTAGCTGAACACGACGAAATATATAATTTCTACTAAAAGCGTCAACTTAGTAGTGTTACTTCGCAGTAACTAACTTTCGAAAATGATTCTGCGTTGTAAACCTGCATTATACAGTTTGCACAAAATCAAGAAGACCCAGTGGAAAGGCGAACGTTCGTTGAATTGATTTCTTATGCAGCCAATAACACTAATCTAGGTGACAACCATTTGTTATCATTTGAATATGACTTCTCTGTAACAAAGGCGGACTCAATGATTGTCATTTTAGTTATTACATTGACAGCAGCAAGCTTCATTTCAATTCAAAGGGCTTCCAGGTAAAGCTTCATCATTCACCGTTCCATGCCACCTCTTCTCAAAACGAAAGATTGCCCAGACTCACGACTGATGCCTCTTAATACACTGTGAACTCAGCCTGTATCTCAACTATTGGCTTCACAGGAAGGTATTTGGTGACGCAAGTCCACAACCTCACACATCACATTCAATGACCCAGTCATTTATTCCTGCAAACTGCGTTCTAGGCTGGCTTGTGGGAACTCTCACATAGTCAAACCAAATCGGTGCATTTTGTGGCTTTAGTGAATAAAAACTAGTGTGATGGCATGGGCCTGTCGTTTAATTTGAAGATGACACATTCACCAAATTGGTGCTTGCATTATCAAACGAAGCAAGTTAGACGGGCTTACTTTGCGCATTCCACGCACTTCCACGAGATACACAACACGATTGATGAGGAGTTAATTCTCATTGAAACGCAATTTCAACGTTAGCCACCGAGTTGTTTGAAAGCGGCTGACACGTGCAATCAATTCGAAGTACAAGGCACAAATGTAAACACTAACAATGAAATGATGATTAAATGAACGTGGTAGTGAGCCTGTTTCCAATTGGTGGCGAATATATGCGAATCCTCACCAGTCTGCTTTATTGACTTATTGTCCTGCAAGTTGCGCTGACAAAAAACAGTGCTGTTCAGATCGGGTTTGACAAAAAAGAAAAGCATGTGCAGTGAAATCTCGTTGATACATCCCAATTTAGTCTGTGATAGAGTTGGTTTTGCAGTTCATCTGACCTGCGCTGAGCCTACTTGATCGAAGTATGCAGATCTGGTTAAACAGCAAAGCCCATGTTTCAAACATATGGGAAATGAGTGAAGTTGCGAGAACTTGTTCGTAGTCAATGAAATCATAATTTATTAAGAAGTACGAAATTTCGCCTGACAAATTTAACAAGAAAAAGTAAAATTAAGCGGTCGAATACAAGATCGTGCTAACGCGTTTTGAGCATCTTTTAAAGCCATAGTTTCAACTACGCCTTAGGCTGATCTCTAAGTCTATCGTATTTCAGCCAGTATCTGCTGGATCAACTAAGTGCTAAGTGCGTTGCTGCCTAGCGTGTTTGCAGTGGAAGTCCATTCTTGACATGCTGCAGACATGCATCATAACCTAGCACAACTTCTCATTTGTTACCTACCGCATGTGGACGACCAGAACGGAACCGATGACTCGACGTAACGCTGCTGTAGCCAAACCCTCAATTCACCTTGCCAATGCTCGTAGCACTTGTGCATTTGCGAGAAAAGAGCAGTTAATTTATTATTCATCAACCATTACAGCAATGAATCAGAACATGTCAAGTGTAGTTGATGTAAAGTCAAAAGTCGTGGATGTTTCGTCTGGCCAAAGTTCGGACAACTTTTTGTAAAGCCATTCTGCGTTTGCCTCCTTCTTCAGTCGCGAATTGACCTCAGTTTGCAGAAGAACTTGCATGGCGTGTTTGTTTTTCAATGTCTTCGACGAAATGTTGACAAAGAGCGGTGGTCCGTTAATTCTGCTGACATTCCAATCAGTAAGTAGTAAGTGAACACTGGCTGAAGTTTTCTTACTCTCTGTCATGTTTACGGAGACGTTGAAAACTGCCAGACCAATTGTGGCGTTCAGCCTCTAAAAGAAGCCACATAAACATCACACCAAATAGACGTGAAAATGAATGTTTCCTTCAAATTGCGCCATAACTACGCGATCATTCGCTCACTTGGAAAAGGAGCTTCAAGTCAAGTATTTTGTACAGTTTTGCATAACTGAATCTCACTTTTGGGGAAATTTCAAACTGCACTGATGGCTTTCATCCACGCTGCACGCTAGGCAGAAGATGGAGTTGTGGACATGAGCAAGTGGTTTGCCCTACTGGCACTGAACAGCGCCACCTACTAGTTTTAATTGATGAGGACCTAGACACTGACCGATTATGAAATGCGCATGGCGTGTTTTACATAACACAATTGCTCAAATGGGGAACCGATATTGCAAACAGCACAAGTGGGGTGTGTGAGGTTCGGGAAGAAAAGTTTAAGTTATCTCGATTTTGCCCTTATTGCAACTTCACAAACGTGGCCAGAAATGCCTGGACTATTGTCTTGTTAAAGATGAAACGTAGTTGAAGCAAGAAAAGTACCTTAATTGAGTATCGAGGAAGGTCACAATTGATCAGAAATCTTGCAAAAATGTAATGGCATTTCAGCAGAACAATAGCGGTCTATACAAGAATTGGGCAATACCAAATCTGAATTAATTAATTTAGCACATTTGGATTCTTTAATTATGGTGTAGAAAACGGACAACTCACCATGTCCGGCATGTCAATGTCAACATTCGTCAGGTTCACACACGTACTCACGTAGAGACTAACGTCTCCATGTGGCCCACTTTTGTATTTTGTCAGTGGACAGGACAGATTGGCACTCCGGACGCTGGTAACATGCACGGTGCCAATCCCTGTCACATCTGGTATCGTTATATTTGTGATTATGTTAGGCTGTGACGTGGAATCACTGTCGAGATACGGATCGGTAGTGAAGCCTTAAGAAAGAGAACAGGTAAATTGAGGTAACTGGAAGTAGACGTACTGTCGGCTTGGTTAAAATTGGGAAGAAGGCAGATCACCACGAAGACGGCACACGCATAATGAGGACGCATGTTTGATGGCTTGCGTTTTACCTCCTAATGTGACTCCTCTGAGATTGTACCTCGACAATCAAGTGTTTAAATATCCCCTAGGCAGTAATCAACACTTTGACAGACAGGCGTAAGGTCGCAGCAATAAAATATTTAATTGGTCCTTTAAAATTTCACACTGGTAGATGTGAGGCTAGCTCAAGTATTGATGTCAATCTCAAATACACTAATTTTAGTTTTAATGCCTTTTTTGAGAAGGTTGTAATGATGATGGTTTTTTGTGTGACAGTTTCCTATGCCATCGTAAATTTTTTTTATGTCCTAGCAAATTTATCAGTGTGTCAATTAAACACGTGAAATGGTATTCGGCAGATCATGGTACGACAAATCGTGGCACATATTGGGTAAAGGCTTTGAGGAATAGGAAGCTTTTGACGATGATCTATTTAGTATTGACATCAACTTAATGTGAATTAATTTTGGAATTTTTATTTATATGAATTCTTGAGAGAATTTTCTGATGAGAAGCTTTTGATGATGATCTATTTGGTCTTAACATCAACGTAAAATGATTTTAAAATTTTGATTTACATGATTCCTTGATTTTACTTTCTGATGGGGATGAAGAAACTGTGCCACGTGCCGTGTGTGCTGCTCAATGCGATCAACCGGGAATATTTACCGTCATTTTTGAACGACCTAGACTAAGCAGGCTTGTACTTGTTAAAATAGTGATAAAGTCATCGCAGTTCACACTTAGCAACATGTAATTTGCGTAAGCAGATGCAGAATGGCAACCTGAAACGCACCTTCATAATCAAGCAACGGGCTGACTCCAAAATATGAGTCAGTCGCTCTCAAGCTTGGCAGATCATGGCAGTTACATTCTCCCAGATCAAATAATGCCTCTGTTAGCACAAAATGTAAATAGTCACACTGATATTGTTGTGAAAGGGAATGCGACATGCGTGGTTTGTGCAGGACAGATGTATGCAAACGTTTGATACAGTGGTGCGCCTAACTACCAGTCATAATATTCCAAACTCTGTATAACAATAATAGACAGTGGCAGACAAGTTGAATCTACTTGTAAACGCTTGTTACCGCCTTCATTGAGAACGTCAGCTTATTGATGCATCTTCTGACAAATCATCTCCCTCTAAACTCACTTTGATTACTTTGAAACCGCAATTCACTGCTTTGTTGAAATCACTGAGATGATATTTCGAAGGTCAGTCACAATTTCAGCATCAGAAAACACATCAGTTTCAAAACCATTTAGCAAACGAATGTCCAAATATGCGAAAGTCGACCTCATTTACCCGCGGCACAGTTCACATTTGGGGTTTAAAACAGATTATTTGAAATTGAATAGCCCCCCGACAATTTGAATTGATAAAAACAAAGGCATGTTCATATTCTTGTTTCTTTAATGGCTCTTAAAATCGGGTTGTCAATATTTGACTGATAAGTGAATGAGTTGTTGGCCATTGGAAATTGCGCACTCTCATTACAAGGCAGGTAGTGCTGGCGAAACCTGCATTTTAGCACATTATTGGCCTGCACAACGTTGACGAGTTTAACAGCGATGCCCAATAATTTTTACCTCAATTATTACCATAATTACGCTGCCTCTTATTGCATGTCCATTGATATAAATCGAGCTAGGAAGCTACGTGCTGCATGGTGCGGCAGATTTACTACAAATCTCGCGCAATATTATCAAATTCATGGTTTTGTTGACCTTCTTTGAACAGGCTAGACTCAAGACACCGACTTAAATAATCTAAATCTTCCTGAGGTTCCTCGCAGCTGAAAATCGTTGTTTTAATTGAAATGCCCTGTCAGTTGGCATTTGCGTTATGTAGAAAATGCTTACCAAAACAAATTACAAGATACTGCACATTGCAGAAAAATTGCAGTCGACACATTCCCAGTTGCACTCATCGGTGTTGCTCGAGGCAGAATGAGGTGAAACTGGTAGTGAAGCAGGATGGACTCAATTCACCCTACGTGACATTGATGGAATTCCGTAAGAAGGGTTTTAAACCGTTGAACCGAGAAATACGTCAACATTATTTAAACGCCGGAGCGAGGATTAGTAGCATGGTCATTACAGGTATTTTAACCTAACTTTTTGGTTAATTTACAAGTGACAACAACTCAGCATTTAGCTTTCATTTGAGCCTTCGAGAGATGAAGTCTTCTAAGAGCCACCAAGCAAATGCGGATAGACGTCCCACATACTGACATTCACCAGCATCGCCACAACCTCGCAACACGGAATGCCCTACACGAACACCACGTGGACTAATTTACAAGTGTGCACCTGGCTGTGTACCCGTCGAGGTACAATCCTTGACAGTGAATTCATCGTGTTCTCACGCACAGTGATAGGCGTCACCATGTAGACTGTTAAATTGAGAATTAATTCATGCCAACGAGAAGTCAGAATCTCATGACAGTCTACTCAACTTGATAAGATGCAGGCTACAAGAAACTGAGGAATGCCAGAGTCGAATATGAAGATTGGCTTGAGGGCAGGCCACAAAATCGCTGCAGACTTCATAAGCGGGGCTTAACGACCGCATTACCAGCTGTTCACACGTTCTAGAAATCTATTTCACCTGCGTACATTGCCATTCATCGCCTACCTTTTTACTGCATTTTTTTGTTAACGTACGTGTTGCAAAGAGATATTTTTCATATTGCCGGCAATAATTAAGCATGCTTTCTCAATAGAAGCCCCCGAAATGCCTGTAGTGACTAGAGGATTTAGCACTACCTTACAACCCTCTAGTTACACACGGGCCTTCATGCACGCACACTCGCGCGGGGCGGCTGTCAGTCCACTACATGCCCAGTAAAATGAAACACTTCAGCGAATAACACTTGATGCACACTTCTGCGATACACACCTGATGACATTACTGCTCACAACTTGTCAGTCGCATGATTTGTTACTAACCTCACTAGTCAATCTCGGGTAGGTTGAAGTCGAGCATTAGGGTTGCCTCACTGGTATGTTAGACGTATTTCGAACAAGTGCGTGGCGTTGGAATGTAAGCGGGAAACGGTTCAACGCATCACAGGCTAGCCTGTCTGGCTAATTAACGTCAGCGCCAGCGATGTTACAAGACATGCGCAGATCAAAGGACGTGATTCACGCACTTCTGTGTGGACGATGAGTGGACGTGTAGAGTCATCGGGTGACAGTTCAACTTGTTGAGCTCTTTTAAATAATTTAACCGTCTAACTTTAATGCACGAAGGCGTGGCTATCAATGCATATATTCCTGATTGTGTACCAAACAAAATGGTTTCGTTACAAGTGCAACGGGAACGAACTTGCCAATCGCTGGTTACACAGGCTTTGTGACGCTCCACGAAATGTCGAACCGACGGACACAAGACTGCTGAATGAAACCATTCAGCAACCTGTTGCCAAATTGCATACAATGGGTCATAAAAATTAATGTGCTTGTGATACATCACCATCAAAACGAAAACGGTTTGCGTAAGTTGCAATTATTGCCTACGTGTTTTGGGATGCGTTGCCAACTAAAGTGCTAAAAATAATTTTCTGAGAAAATTTAGCAACTAGAGCTGATTTATGAATACTGGTGTCTTATTAAACATCAATTACCCTTTCTTTTATTTCGCTTTGAAAGACCCGGCATTAACCGCATATTAATGGAGTTCCATTTGCTGATTGTTGTAAAAGCGGGATACATTTCCACACATATTCTTACCGTCGTGATGGATTCAATGTCTGGTTAATCATCGCCGATAAATGCAACTGTGGATACGATCATTGCGATTGCCCTATTCACTTAGAGTAAATCTGCCTACCGGTATTTCATTGATTTTCACTCAGACGATAAGCCATTTCGATATCACTCATATTTACTTTGCAAGGTAGCCATCAATATTAACCATTCGCCACTCTACTCTCTCTTTCCTGCCTTTACGTTCATGACAACTTTCAAAATGCGTAATCGTGCCTTCCAGTTTGAACACATCTGATCTAAATTCGGCGCGCAGAAGTGATCTTGAGATTCCTTTTTCATTAAATCAGATTTGTGCCCTCAAAATAACAACATTTGATTGATATTTGAGACAGAAAGGATAAAAAACTCCTTGTTGTAGTAAGACCGTCTGGTTAAATTACCGGTGCACTGGTTTTTAGAGCTAAAGACTTACAGACAAGCCCAAACCTGCCATGACAATCCACTGAGGATATCAGCATGCTGCCAACAGCATTCACTTTAAGTTTGTGATTAGTAAAGGTTAGCGTTTAATTCTATATGCGCAGTGAAGCATTTCATTATTAAATAATCTAAGTTTGTCTATACAGGAAAATTAAGATGAAGCCCTCCAAAGATATGGGATTGTGTGTTCTCTGAGGTTTATGAGTAAAATAATTTAATAAATCAAGAAGTTGTAGTGGGCCCCGGTGCTGTTTTAGAAACCACACCAGGGCCAAAATTCCACACTGACACGGCCCGACCGAAATAACAAAAAATGCGAACGGCTCGTAGCTCAGCTAATTTATTGATGCAGCCGTGTGTGTGTACAAGATAACAAGTACGTTTATATAGCCTTGCTAAGCGTCGATCCCTGAACAAACATAGCTAGTTGAAGTTCATTCAGCATACTGCCAACAGCTAATACTTTAATTTTGTGATTGGCAAATGTTGAATTCCAAATGCGCAGTGAGGCATTTTATAATTAAATTATCCAAGGTCGTCTGTGCAGGAGCATTAACATGAAGTGCGTGTTCACCGAGGTCTATGAGTTGGATAATTTAGTAATTCTGCGAGTTAACTGCTCTGCAGATCTGAGCTACCACAGTTGAAAGTGTAATTCGAACACATAAATAGCAGTTCAGATTCGCAGATGCAAGAACTGATGTAAACTAGAATAACTTGGTACCAGCACCTTTCAAATCAGTGATCGAAAGTGGGAATCTACCCTGCATCTCAACTATCGGCTTTACAGGAATGTGTTTGGTGGGGTGTGCCCACAACCACACTCATCACATTCCATGACCCAGTCATTTCTTCCTGTGTATTCATCCACTGCAAACTACGTTCTAGTCAGGCTTGTGGAAACTCTCACAGAGTCAAAACAAATCGGTGCATCTTGTGACTTTAGCGAACCACAACTAATGTGATGACATGGGCCTGTCATTTAATATGAAGGTGACGGAATCACCAAATTACTGCCTGCCTTATCAAAAGCAGCACACAGGACGGGCTCACCATGCGCATTCCATGCACCGCTGCGAAGTTCACAACACGGTTGATGGGGAGTTAATTCTCAATTACTTCAAAATTTGTATTCTTATCTTTATGCATGCTCTGGTAGATGACATATTAGCTGCAGGAGAATTTGGCATGCGAACCACCATCCCAACAACCTTTCGTTCGAGAATGGATTGAAAGTGGTGTCGGAAAGGGTATTGAACATTAGGAAGTAGGAAATGCCAAAAGTCCGCCTACATGAGCGGCGCATTTGGTCGTTGTAATAGCATATTGTGAAGGGACTCATATTCTTGTTAACCATTAGAAAGGCAGTTGTGTAATCGTCTCTTGGGATTACATTGTTGATGTAAACAGGAATAAATGGGTACACAAGCTGTGTGAGGTCGACGTGAAGTTCTGCGAACTCCGTGAGAAATCAAAATGCGTGTGTCTAGATGAGTCCAATGACCGCATTTTGTCGCAGCACGATTATTTAACTTCCTTTATGATTATGGGTTTTTAATACGATGCATTACATTCAAAAGATCCACTACATCACTATTCACTTTGTTGTCTTTATTCAAGTTTCCCTATTCGCTGACATCTTCAAGATCTCAATCTATTAAGTGCCACGGCGTCTGCTGATGCTCACATTCGCCCAAGAACCAGATTATGCACAAGTCAAGTGTACAATGTGACAGGATTTTGAGCATGCACTAGTATCAATCTTCAAACGTACCATTAGTCCAGAGTGTCAAAAATTGTAAATACCAACCTTTAAGAATAAAATGTTAACCAAGCGAACATGGAAATGAGCCTGGTTCCGATTATTTGCGAATATATACGAAAAATGCGCATTTTGTCGTCCAAGCTGCGCCGACAATAAACGGTACTGGTCAGATTGGTTTGCCGAAATTGAAAGTATAGGATATAAAATCGCATTGTTTTATAACAATTTTGTTTGCGTTGTAGTTCTAGATGAAGTCCATCTGATTTGCTGTGAGCCTGCAACTCTGATTGAATAGATAAGCCCATGTTTCAAATATATGGGAAACAATCATATATGTGGAAAATTGTTGGTCTATCAAGATGGCTTTCCAAGCAAAAAAAAATGTAATGGCAGATTCCATCAATTGTAAATAGGCACAAAATGTCGATAACAAATTTAAGAAAACGTAGTACACTATTGCTGATGAAATCAAAATCGTGCTGGCACCTTTTGAACATCTCTTGATGCAATAGTTTGAACAACGCCTCTAGCTGATCTCAAAGTCTATTGTCCTTCAGCCCGTATCTGCTGGCTCAACTGTGCACTAATTGCGTTGCTACACAGCATGTTATTAATGACACGCTACTACTTGATGATGTTAAATACGGAACCGACATACCGATAAAACGTTGTTGTAGCTAAACGTTCATTTCGTCTTGTATGCAACATGTACGTATTTGTGATAAAAAGTAGTTTATTATACATCATACATCACAGCAACTAATTAAAACATATCAATTGCAGTTGACATATAGTCAAAAGTCGTAGATGTTTCAGTTGGTTTAGGCCACAGTTCGGACAATTTGTCGTAAAGCCAGTCTGCATGTCCTGGCTTCTTCAGTTGCGAATTGGCCTCACTTTCCAAAAGTACTTGCATGGCATCTCGGTTGTTCAATTTCTTTGACGAAATGTTGACATAAAGCGGCGGTCCGCCAATACTGGTGACATTCCATTCAGTAATTGCTACGGTTACATTGGCTGCAAGTATCTGACTCTCACTCTTCGTCATGTCTACGGAGACATTGAAAACTGCAAGACCAATTGTAGTGTTCAGCCTCTGAAAGAAGCCACATAAACATTACACCAAATTGACGTGAACATGAATGTTTCATTTCAGCTGTACCGCAATCGCACATTTATTCGCCCACTTGTAAAAACAGCTTCAAGCCAGGTATTTTGTTCATCTTGCTTTAACGAAATTTCCAAGTGCCTTAATAGCTCTTCTCTGTGTTTCACACTAACTGGTAGGTGCAGCTACGCACAAGAGCAAGGCGTTTGGCCTAATTCAATCACACAAAGCCACCTACTGGTTTCTAATTTTCTGTCACCTATACACTGAGCAATTATGAAATGCGCATGACTATTTATAATTAAAACAAATGCGTAAATCGGGAACTGATATTGCAAACAGCATCAGTGGGGATGCGAGTTTCGCGGACACAAGTCCAAGATATCTCGAATTATCGCTATTGCAACGCCGCATACTTGGCCGGGAATGAATGGAATATTGTCCACTTAAATATGAAATGCAGTAGATTAAAGAATTGGCCAATAGCTGAGCAGTTTACAATGCTGTGGTTGAAAGGAGATCCGGCCAAATCCTGTTCCCTAACCAGCGGTACTCTAGTGGACGTCTAT